GTTATATACTGTGCAATTTGTTTATATACCATTTCTAACATAGCAAAATTATAGAGATGGGAAATTGATTAGTAGTTGCTGGGGTTAATAATTGCTATGTAGGACTGAGAGGTATGTGTGGTCATAAAGCACAGAGATGCATGGAACTTCAGACATACACACAAACAGCGAGGAGAAACTGAATCACAGCAATTTCCTGGCTGTGACATACTAAAGCTATATAAGATGCTACTGCTGAAGGAAATTGGGTGAAGGTCATTAAGACCTTCCTTTAAGTATTTTGCAACATTCTGTGAATTGGTGTAATTATTTCACAATGAAAAGTTTAAAAAAAAAGAGTATGTGGTAAAATCAGATATTTAAAAGATGATGAGAAATAGTAACATGGCAAACGAGGTCAGAATTATTACATGAAGTGGCAGCAGTCACATTAGCAGAACAGAACCCGTCTGGACTTGAGGACTAGGATGTCTTAGGGGAATGTTTAAAAGTGTCCTTGGATCATCTTTAGAGCAGAAAGAAGGGCCAGCTATATGCCCAGCTGGGACCCAATAAATAATACCAATGATAGCAAACAATGAAGCCTTGATTTTTCTACTGATATTTTGTTGGAGTCTTCTTTGCTGACAAAACAAAAAGTTCTTCTTTAGACTGAAATGGGTGGGGGAATAATACTGTGAAAAAGGACGGGAAGCTTAAAGTTGGTGAGAAATCCTGTGTTCCGTGTGCTAGACTCACAAGAGCCCACAGATGTGGAAAAGTCTCTTGTGGTTTAGATATGAGGTGTCCTCCAAAGGCTCACGTGCAAGAATGCAAGAATGTTCAGAGGTGAAATGATGGGGTCATGAGAGCCTTCACCTAATCAGAGCATTCAACTGCTGATAGGGATTAATTAGGTGGTGACTGCAGGAGGCTGGAGTTAGGGGGTGATGGAGGCGTCCATCAAGATTTTAAAGGAAGGCCTGAGAGGCTAGGCAAAGTGTAGCAGGGTCAGAGTCTGCAGGAACCTTCTGAAGGGGTGATGTAGAGATGTGAGGAAGAAGCTGAAGCTATTATAGAGACCCCCAAGATGAAGACATACCAGTACTGCAGAATGTCTGCCTAGAAAAGCTGCAGGAATTGAGCCAAGAGAATTGAGAGGCCATGTGGGTTGCTACCCGCAAAGCCATAGGGGTGGAGCTACCCAAGCTCTTTGGAGAGGATGTCAGGATGCCCTGCGCCCCGGATGCTGAACGTGGAGCTACGGGACTTGCTTGTCCAGCTGGATTTTGATCTTGCTTTGGTCTCCTCCTTTCTTTCTGTGCCCCTATTTCTCCCATGTGGAAGGGAAATGTTTACTCTGTACCTTTGTATATTGGATACATGTAACTTGCTTCTGATTTTTACAGGAGCTCATGCTGAGAGTCTGCCTTGATTTTCAAAAGAGACTTTGAACTTGGATTTGGGGGCACTCCTGGAACAGCTGACTATGGGGACTCTTGAAAATGGACTAAATATTTTTTGCATTGTGAGACACACATGAGCTTTGAGGGACAAGGGTGGAATATTATGGTTGAGATGTGAGGTGTCCCCCCAAAGCTCATGTGTGAGACAATGCATGAGGGTTCAGAGGGGAAAAGACTGTTATGAGAACCTTAACCCAATTGGAGAATTAATCCCCTGGTAGGGGGAGGTAGGTTGTGGTTGGAGGAGGTGGGTGACTGGGGACACGTTTGGGGTTTATATTTTGTCCTGGTGAGGAGAGGTCTCTCTCTCTCTGCTTCCTGGTGCCATGTCCCCAGCCACTTTCCTCCACCACACTCTTCCGCCAAAGGAATGGAATTGGCTGCCTATGGACTGAGATCTCTGAAACCATGAGCCTCCAAATAAACTTTTATTCCTCTAATTGTTATTTTCAGGTCTTTTGGTCACAGTGGTGAAAAATCTGATTGAAACACAGTCCTCCTCGAGGTACAGACACAGTAGGAGGATCAGGAAGACCCAAGCTAGACAAATGTTCTTAATTTTCAAAAATGTAGAAACAGGTACATCCCAGAAAGATATATAGTCCACAGACATAAATAGAAATCTCTCATTCCAACTCAAATGCTCCGTGGTTGAGGTGGGAGATGGGGCAGAACACTAGACCCAGAAAGGACCTGGGTTTCTGTTAAACCCTAAGTGCGACGAGAGCCACAGGAATGTCTGGTCCCCTCAGGTACCAAAGCAATCATTGTGTGATCATTTCACAATGTATATCAAATCATCGCAGTTATACTGTAAACCTATACAATTTTTGTTTTTCAATTCTATCACATAAAGTTGGTAAGGCTGGGCATGGTGGCGCACACCTGTAATCCCAGCGGCTTATGAGGCTGAGGCAGGAGGATCGCAAGTTCAAAGCCAGCCTCAGCAAAGGTGAGGTGCTAAGCAACTCAGTGAGACCCTGTCTCCAAATAAAATATAAAATAGTGCTGGGTATGTGGCTCAGTGGTTGAGTGCCCCTGAGTTCAATCCGAAGTACCAAAAAAAAAAAGTTGGTAAGAACAACAAAAAAAGAGCACCCTGCTTGCAGAGGTGATAAAGGAACAGAGTGGGGCTTGCTACTACTGGGCAGCTTGGAGGGAGAAGGTGTGATGTCACACAATGGCCAGAGGGAGGGAGACAGACTATTTTGCTTAAAAAATAACCTGCAAAATTCATACTCATTGCCATTTTTAGATTAATTTTAGATAAAATGATTACATTTCAAAAGTTTCTGAAGCTTCTTTCTAAAAGTTGCTTCAGAGTATGTATAAAACACCCCTCATGGTATTGTTGAGTTGTTAAAAAAAAGTTTTATGTGTTTTCAAGCAGGGGAAGGTAATCGTTTATATTTCAACACCAGCAAGAATGGACAAAAATAAATGAGAACATGATATGGCCAATGTTTTCCAGTGATGTTTTTGGTGAACTCTGGGTGAAGAAACAAACACACAATCAAACAACTATATTGGTAGAAAAGAGAAAGAAAAAAGGAAAGAAGGGAGCGAGGATGGGGGGAGAGAGAGAAACAGAAAGGAGAAAAAGAAGAAAGAAAAAAGCAGGAAAGATCTTTAGCAGGCTAAACAGAAATAAAGTTGTTGGGAGCATCAGTAATGAAACAAGTCGTCTTAATCAATGTGATGAACCCTGAGGGGTCACTGTGTTTCAGAGCCCCACAGTCATTACAGCTCATAATGATACTCATCTGGAAAGTTCCATATGTTCCATGAACTTTGAATTAGAAGGCAGGAAGTTATTCACATGATAGGAAAATGTTCCATGCATAACGGAGGGGTGTTGGTATTTTGGTCCGATTTTTAGTTCATGGCACCCGCAACCCAGGTCAGCTATCTGGGATGTGCCCCTGACTTGCATTTCCCTCACCTCCCTGTAGAGGGCCCCCACCACCACCCCATGCATGATCTGACTTCTAATATTTCTCCAGGACATTCTCCCTTTTCCTTCCATAAAGCCCCTGCCCCTCATCATCTCTTGCTGCCATGATCCTCTCTGTCCTCACCTCTTTCCAGCCTGTCCCCCAGTCTCCCATCTACCACAGCGAGCAACTCAGATGCAAACCAGGGCTTCTTAGCCCCATGTCAACCTCTTCCATCATCTCAGGGTAAAGTCTATATTCCTTGGTCCCTGCCTCAATTCCACTGAGCTTCTCCACCCAAATTTGGCCCCATAGTATAGAGCCATTTGTATTTCTTATTATATATAGACATGTGGCTCCCACCCCTGCCCCAGACACTCCCCTCTCTGTAACTAACCTCCTTTTCCCTTTTAACTTTAGAAGTGACTCTACTTCTAGGCCCCATACCAGGTAGCTCCTTCCACAATGTCCTGTAAAAATCTTTGTCACAGCTGGTGACAAACTGTATGGAAAAGGTCAGCTTATGGAGAGCCCTCACGCCACCACCACCAAGCGTGGACTCCTCAAAGCCAATGGTCCTGTTCATTCATGTCTCTTGCCTGGGTGCTGCACGTGGTGCCCAGGGGGTAGCATGTTTGATTAGCTGATTTTTCTAAAACACTTTCTATACCCTATAAAGCCACATATCCAGGACTCTATATTCTGAAAAGTTCTGAACAGCCAACAGTGATTACAGTGACGCACACACATGCCTTTCTCTGCATTTTACCATAAATTCCTTAAGAAAGCACCCCAACCCTTCATCTTCCTGCATCCACCAATTCCAGACCAGGCCAAGGGACAGACCAGGGCTGTTATTTCCACACACCCAAAGTCCAGAAAAACCTGGAAGTGGGAATGCCTAATCACCTTGGAAGATGATTCCAGGAGAATGTTCTAGAATGGGAAAAATCAGAGACTGACTGTGGGAAGCAAACCCACCCCTGACTTAAAAATGCTACAGATTCTAGGAGATTAAAAAAAAAAAAAAACATCACCTGGGTAACACTGAGGGAGAAAATAGAGACAACAGGGTGGAATGAATTTTTAAAACCTGTGTTCAATATAGGACAAACTAATTCTGAAGCTATGAACATATCCTGACCAACATGAAATGAAGACTGTGTTTCTGGATCAACACCTCAGTCACAACAGAATCTGTCGAAGAATTTTAAAGGAATTGCACCAAAAAACGTGGTGCTTGGCTTCAGCACAGTAGAAGTTTTTGACCTCCTCAGTTCTGCATATTAATTTAACATACAACCTGTGTATCAGAATAAGTTACTCATTAAAAAGTGGGCATTTAATAAGCACTAGCATTTATTCAAGGCAAAAATATTTAATTAAGATTTAAGAATGGCAAAGCTTAAGAAAAAAAACCTTAAATGCTAAAGATATAACATCTATTATATAGCATTCCAGAGATTCCAGTCTGATACATTCCAGACTTGCATAGTGAGAGTCAGATGCAAAACCCAATAAGGGTGCAAATCTAGATTTTCTATCGACTGGTCTCCTTATAGCTCAACAACAGAAAGACTGAATTACCAGATAATTCTGTTATTAGGAGCGGGTACTTTACCATAGATTTCAAAGGTCTCTATCCCAGGAAACATGATTTGGTCAGAAGCTGCTTCTTCTTCAGTGTTCCCCAAGAATGCTTCCTCCTTGAAGGATGCCTTATTTTCCATTACTAAGCTTTATAGGTGGACAAAGTCCTGGAGCCAGCAGAAATGTTCCCCTAAGAGGAACCACTCGTTCCCATGTAACGGCTGTAGCTACTGGTAGACCACATAGGACTTCCCTTTGGCTCTGATTTCTGAATTTGCAAAATGTTTTCTGACATGATCGGGACAGGGTATTTCTCAAATACAGGTCATTCACATGTGGAGCTTCTGCTTACTGCAGTTTACTGTTAAGGGCGATCCAGGAACTTTGGGACACTCCCTTGTTCCCAGACCTCTGGATGACCCTTGCAAGGATGGAAGGATGGTTCTCTTCCTCCCCTCTGCCTGGAGCAGGCTAGCTGTCCCAGGACCTCTCCAGACCACACTGAAATCTCCCTTTTCTGACCTACTTCAATGCTTAGAGAGCTCATCCTTTGCTACTCAAAGTGTGGTCCCTGGACCAATGACATCAACATCACTTGGGAATTTGTGAGACGTGCATCGTCTTGGCTCCTCCCTTATAGAGACGGAATCCAAATACATTTAAATAAGACTCCCAAGTGACTCATATGCACATTAAAGTTTGAAAAGCATTGTTCTGTAGCACACATTTTAGCACCTGGTTAGAGTTCTTCTTGTAGTTTTCCCATGTTCTGTGTGCGTGGGTGTGCATATGTGTTCTTGCTCCGGCAGCCCTGGTGAGATCTGAGCTCCTCGAGGGGAGGATGCTTTCCCTCTCGGTTTCCTGTCACCATCCCTACCAAGAATCTTGTATACAGCATGGTGGTTAAGACGCAAATGCTAAGAACTAGAATACCTGCTTCAAATTCTCTCTCTTCTCCATAGGAGCTGTGTGACCAGGGCAATTCACTCAAGCTTTCGGCCTCACTTTCCTCATTTGTAAAATAAGGAAAATGCTGATGAATGTTGTATTGACTGAATTAAATCATGTAAGGTGGCTATGCATGCACCTGGTATGTAATAAACACTATGGCCATATTGCTGTCTTCCCTGGAGAAGCTGCAAAGCTGCAGGTACCAGAGAGATGAAGGTGTGCCTTTGCCTTAACAACGCTCACAGTCCAGTATGAAAGATGGACACGGACACGGATGAAATTGCAGAAAGTTGCTGTGCAGTGAGCAATGACAGATGTCGCTGAGAGGACAGTCCTGGGTGCAGGGGAGGCAAGGATGGTGGGCCTATCAGAAAAAGCTTCACAAGGAGGTGCTGTTAGAGGGATGACGGGGATGGATCTGGAGATCAAGAAAAGGCAAGGGCTTCCCAAGTAGGAAACAGAAGAAGTCTAAACTCACTGAGGCAGGGCAGCTGGTGAGATTTGGAGTCTCTTTGGGACAGAAAAGGTAAAGAGAGTGGACAGCAGATGAGGCCAGAGCCAAGGTGGGTCACTCTCTTTGGCTTGTGGCATGGCAGAAAGTGAAAGGGGAATGGAATTCAGAAAAGTGTACTACTGGAAGTCCCCTGCAAGGCAGGCATCCCTGGTGGCGCCCACAATTTCAACACAAGGAGGTCACTGGTTTTGGCAGAGGGCCAGGAACAGAAGCTGGGAATGAGAAGACTGAAGGAGAGAATTGGGATGAGGAAGTTGAGGCAGCTGGCCAGAAGTCTGGGGCAGAGAGTGCCCCATAATAGAGGACTTCCCCCTCGGGAGGGAAACCCCCAGGCAAATAAACCTGCTCACTCTTGATCCCAGTACCTCCCCTCTGCCTCTGCCTCTGCCACTTCCTCCTCGGCTTAGTGCTGATGCTCATGGGGGTGGGGTGGGGCTCATTAGAAAATGCTATGGGCATGATATTCTCCAGTTCCATCCATTTACCGCAAATGCCATGATTTCATTCTTCTTTATGACTCAGTAATATTCCAATGTGTATTTATACCACATTCTCTTTATCCATTCATCCATTGAAGAACACCTAGGTTGTTTCCATAGCTTGGTAGGTGAAATAAGCTCATCCCCCGAAAAAAAACAAAGGCCAAATATTCCCTCTGATTTATGGATGCTAACCCCAAACAAGGCAGGTGGGGAGGTGAAATAATAGAAATATTGGATTAGATAAAGGGAAATGGAGGGAAAGAAGGAAGGATGGGAATAGGAAAGAGAGTAGAACAAATTGGACGTAACTTTCCTGTCCTTATATATGAATACACGACCAATGAAACCACTTCATGTAGATCTGCAAGAGTGGGATCCTAAATAGAATAAGTTGTGCTCTGCCAAAATACATTCTACTGCCATGTATAACTAAAAAAAGACAATTTTTTTTAAAAATGCTATGGGATAATTATCAAGTACCTCGTTATTTTTGGAGGGATTATTTAGTGGATGTCAAATACTTTTCAGTTCTGGCTCTGGGGCTAGATGCACCTGAGTCTTGAACTCAGCTCTTCCATGAATTTGCGGTGTGGAATTGGTTAAATGACTTCATTTCTCTGAACCTCAGCACAAACTCATAGCTGCTGGAGCATGGAGTGTTACTTAGGATCCGTCGTTACTTATCCGCAAGGCATAAAATAGCCAACACTCGCAACTTAGCTTTCTTGGATGATGCAGTTAGAAAGGATTGGCATTAAAATTCCAATCCAGGACATCTTGCCTCTGTAACCTGGTTTAATTCTGATTTAATCCAGGAGCTCCAATCCAGAGGTTTGCACCAGAGGAACTTCTCGAAAACACACATGCCAGCTTCCCACTTTCTGCCTAAGAGAGGTGTTAATAAGTGACTCTAATGTGCAGTCAGGGTGAGGACATCTGAAATGTCCACTTACAGCACAGAGATGGGGGAGCCCTTAACCTCATCTTGGGGGAATCCATTTAGGCTGAACTATATGAAATTACTGATGTTCATCCCTTTTTCACATGCAATAAATCGAGATTTATGTGATTCAAACTAATCTTTCCATGCCACAGGGCCTGAGACTAAGAGCCTGGCCCAGAATAGCCTTGTGAAGATGCAGTTCTCAAGATAAATAGTTTAACAAAGTAAATGTTTTTTTTTTTTTTAAAATCAAAATTAATACAAAAATTCTTTGATCAGATAAATAGCAACATTTAAAATAAAGCCAGCATCCCAATGCACTTATAACAATGCTGCTCACACACTCACCCTGGCCCTGGCCCTCTCATTAGCCCTAGGTCTCAGTGTTCCCATTGCAGGGAAGAGCACGACTGTGCCCACAGGGTGACTGGGAGGACCAAGGGAAGTGACAAGTTGAGTAAGCACATTTGTAAACAAAAGGGCTCTGTGCTGAGTGGCACTCAATACCAGGTCAGCATCAATGTGACACCCTGAAAAACCCCTTAAACCTTCCATCAAGCATAAATCACACAACTGTACCACATTTCCTAATTTCCTCCTATATTCTTATCTCCTAGAACACAGATCTGGCTGCTTCTTCCCCAGACAAAGTAGTTGATTTGCATTTGGGAACCAGGTTGCTCAAGAAATGCAGTGTTTGGCTTTATTTTTCTAGCAGAGTGAACATAATTGGATTGGAGTATTTAAATGTATATTCGAAGAGGCCGCAATACACTTACATCAACTTCTCATGTTCTCTGAAGTGACAGCCAAGTGGCTCTCGGTGCTTTATTAGACAAGAGAAATGGGGGTGGGGCCCCCATGTGAGTCTGACCCACTCTCAGAAGCCTCTGCAGAACTCGATTTTGCAGTAACTAGTGGGTCCCAAATTAGTTCAGTGAGTGATTTGCCTGGAAAATCAGCAAGAAGGACCCTTGAGTAACCGCATTCCAGCTCAAAACTGGGGAAACCATGTTATTGCATGATATAAAAATCACCCACACCAACCTAAGAGTCCAAAGCAAAACTCACTGCAAACAGGCAAACCAAGTCTCCACATCTCTTCCGGCCTCCCTGCCATCCCTGACTCACAGTGGGGTCATGGATGCTCTTGTCCACCTGAACACCCCAGCACAGTCGATGAGATATGTTTTATATAGGGGACAAATGTTTGAAAATGTTCTATCAACTAACTATTTTTCCTTCCAGTATGAGTGACAGTGGTGGTCACACAGCATCCTCAGGACCAGCTCAGTGTCTGGTGCATAAGAAGTCCGAGGACTAATGATTAATTCTAAAAATTAAGAATCAACAGCACAAATTACCTAGACAGGTGAATAAATTGTGATATAGCCATACAATGGGACAATAATCATCAGCTATAACAAGAAATCAGCCACAACATGCATGACTCTAAAAATTCCTTTATGTTGAGCAAAAGAGGTCAGACCTCAAAGAGGATATCACATGTGATTCTGTTCATATATGTTTCAGAACTAGCAAAACTCACCTGTAGCGTCATTAAATAGCCATGATAGTCTGTGATTGAGGGGGACTGACTACAGTAAAGCACAGAGGAAATTTCTGGGGGATGGAAATTTCTGTATCTTGATTCTGTGTTAGTTATAAAACTCATTCAACTCCACGTTTGCAATATGTACATTTTACAGTATGTAACTTACACTTCAATAAAGTTAATTAAAAGATACATTAAGGAAAAGCGATGTAAGAATCATTACTGTTAGACTTAGCTCAATACACATCTTTCATCTTTGGAGAACCACTAAAATGGGAGGGGTGACAGGCGTGGGACTGGTCACACAGAGCCTCTCCTGCCTTTGATTAGGACTCACACATTGGAATGGTTGTGTCAGGATTGCAATCTGTGCTCTGAGAATGGAAGAATAGAGAAGCAAATTGATCCACACAGGACAAAATCCAGAAGGCAGTTACCTCCCTGCCCCAACGTTAGGGGCACAAGTTCTCTAGGACCCAGATAACACACCCTGCCTTCCCGGCACCTGAGATGTTTTCACAAGGGATCAAACTTTTGATTCAACTAACTAGCAATCAGATGTAAAAATGCATTCCTTTCTAGGAGAGGAAATGGAGTCTTACACTGATGTATCAATGAGTAATACTCTCCCTTTCTCTGAGCAGGTTCAGGGGGTTGAGCAGGTTGGAGGAGATGTGGAACTCAAAATACTGATC